GAGGTTTTTGCCCAAGGGTATATTTCTTTGCCCTGAGAATTACCTCGGATCAAAACCTCGGGAAGCTTCTGTCTGAGGTTTTGCATCCGAGGATACCTTGTATTTTGTAATCCGAGGTAAATATGTTGGTGGTGAATTTGTTTGAAAGGAATATTCGGTTTAATTACTCATCCATTTTTATATATGTATTGATATACATATATAAAATATATATTGCAACATTTCAATTACAACATGTTTGAAAGGTTTGTCCAATATTTTTGGCTTTTGTTAACGAAAAAAAAACTACATATTGAAACAATTGTCTGCCTATTGTTAAAGAAATAAATATATACTGGAAGAGTTGCATCAAAATATGATTGAAAGCATTGTTCGGTAGTATATTTTGGTAATATACTCAATTTATGTATTCTTTTGTTAATGAAAAAAAAATTATATTATGGATCGGTTTGAGTAAGATGTGTTTGAATTTTTTTTGGTTGAGATACTCATCATCCCAACTGTTTTTTTTTCCTTTTGTTAATGAAAAAAAAATTGAAACAGACTCATTCATCAGATATTTTTGCTGGCATGTTGGTGTGTAGTTGGTGATGGAGACAGAAGGTGATTTGATGAGGATTGCAGAAGATTGAGGACGGTCGAAGAAGATTCAGGATAATAAAAGAAGATTGAGGACGGTCAAAGAAGATTGAGGACGGTCAAAGAAGATCAAGGACGGTTGACAAAGATTGAGGAAGATTGAGGACAGTTGACAAAGAAATAGGAAGATTGAGGACGGTAGATGAAGAAAGAAGAAGTTCAAGGACGGTCGACGAAGAAAGAAGAAGATCGAGGACAGTTGACAGGTATTGAGGAAGATCAAGGACAGTTGACAAAGATTAAGGAAGATCGAGGACAGTTGACAAAGAAATAAGAAGATCGAGGACGGTTGACAAAGATTGAGGAAGATCGAGGACAATCGAAGAGGATTGATGATGATGAAAGAGGTTTTGGAGGAGAGCGAGACAGGAAGCAGGTACTTTGAAGCTCTTGAGACTGATGGTAGAATGTCTCCGATCGGAGGTGTTGATACCTGTGAGACCGAGCTTGTAGCTAGTTGGCCAACATGTGGTTTTTGGCTGCAGTAGAATCCAACATTGGTGTTTGAATTGTACAGTTTGAGAAATGTATTTTTTGGTTTTTGGTTTTTGGTTTTTGGTTTTTTGATTTTTTGATTTTTGGTGTTGCTGGTACTTTTTGTCGAAAGGTGACAATGCAATGAAAACAGTGTTGACCACTGGAAATTTGGGCAAAAAGGGGTTTCTGCCATGACTTTTACCCCAGTACAGGGGTTTTATCCCTGTATTTGAGTATTTTCTGTAGTTTTGTCTTTGATTTTTGAATTTCGCACCCGGGGATTGTGATTTTTGATTTTTGAAATTTTGCATTGTCACTTTGGAACGTCTCGCATTCCGTACAATACCAACTTCGCCCGCTGTCGCTCGCGACGGAGAGATGCGGTTCGATGCTCCCGAAGGCCCCCGACCGCAGAATTTGATCAAAGTTCAACCCAGCGAAAAGTAATTTTAGCTTCACGTTGACGTCAAAGAGTTCAAGCCGAGTTGAAGAGTAAGATAAGAGGAGCGACATTGTACTCAGATACCTTTTTGGTGACTTCACCCTGTTCTGCACTCTCTTCGCGTCTCTCTGAAAAATTCCACAAGGCCTCCTACACATATTTAAAACCTCACAGAAATTGCCACCATTGCTGGGGTAAGCATCTTTGGTCTCTGTCTCTTAGACTTCACGCTGAGCAGCCATTCAGGCGTCAGTCTGTAGCTCAATCCATCTTCACCCTTAACCTTTGCCGCCTTCTTGGGGACTCCTTCATGCCCACTTTATACTCATTGAAATTGCTTCTTCGCACTGGTTGCTAGCCGATTGATCCGCGATATGACTTCAACTTTTGGTTCACACTCAGGTGCGGACACGAAGGGCGCACCTGGCTCCATGAATGATGATCAGTATGGTATGGCCAACTGCCAAGAGCAGAGTCAAGTGTGTACCAATTTCGATTCTTGCTATCGCTGCCATCACATGTGATTGATGCTATCTGCATCCTTAGCTGGATGTTTTAGCCGAGAAACAGGCAGTTTGGAAGCTTGATCTAGCGTGATTCAACGTTTCTGGACCGCGAGTGGCCTCCAATCATACTGATATTGAATGCGCGCTTTTGCAACAGGGTGATACCAATTGTATCATTGTTCTACTTCCTCAGCTTCCTTGACCGTTCAAATCTTGGTTCGTGACCATGGTTTTTCCCATAATGATTGTTGGTCCTTGACTGATGACGGCGTCACGACTTGAACTTTACAGGAAATGCTTGGGTTGCAGGTACACATGTTTAAGTTCACGCACGTTCATTAGGTACTCGAGTTGACATTTGCTTTCCGTGAATCAGGACTTCAAGAAGGGCTTGGGTTGTCGGACCATCAATATTCTGTGGCATTGACGGTAACATACATGTAAGCAATTGACTTGGCCATGGAGCACCTTAGCATTATACCGCAACCAACAATTCATCGGCAGCTAATGCGATGTGCTTTCCTTTTGAACCATTAGTCCGTATATTGTAAGTGTTCCATGATACCTCGAGTGATCTGATTAGTGAATTGCTTTTGCTGACCAGCATTGCTGCTCAGATGGCTGAACTACCAGCGAATCTGTACCTCAAAAAGATTGGCCCCCACATCTTCCTACCAACAATTGTAACAATCTGGGGTATTGTTACCACGTTCCAAGGGTTTATCACCTCTTATGGCGGTCTGATCGCGACTCGGTCAGTTCTATCTCCAACTTAAGATACTTAGCAAGCTTTTCTCAACTGTTATTGATGCCATGAACATGAGTCACAGATTTTTCCTTGGTTTAGTCAAAGGTGAGCTATTCTATGCACATGGTTGGGTTCAAAGCTAACAAACATTCATCTTTGCTTGGAACAGGTGGACTGTTTCCGGTGAGTTGCGAAGGAACCGGTTTGTCCCAAACTCAATACAAAAATTGACTAACTGCATCAAAACAGGGCATAATCTTGTATCTTTCAACCTTTTATACTCGGTAAGGAAATTTGATCTCTACAAGTTGATATCGACCCATCATTCATGCATGTGTGTATTCTGCTCTGTTCTATGGTTATTACAGTCGCGAATTGCAGCTGCGCATTGCATTATTCTTCTCTGCAGCCTCGTTGTCAGGCGCCTTCTCAGGTTTATTGGCATTTGGCTTGATCCGTTTAGATGGAGCGGGCGGCCGGCCAGGGTGGGCTTGGATCTTCATTGTCCGTATCCTTGCGCTCAATTTATTGTTTGACCATCTGAGAATCAAGAATACCAGTCTCACACAATTTCCAACATGATTGATCCTCAAGGTCAAAGGTCTGTTTACCGTTCTGGGTGGCATTGCTGGCTATTTCATCATCCCCGCTACACCTACTGCGACCCGCCTCTTGAGTGCGAGACAGAAAGAGTCAGTTTCATTCGCCTGCATTTCGATTGAGTCATGCGTTGCCAGCAGTTTTATGCTTACCCAGGAAATGTATCTTTCATTCAGAATCATATTGAAGCGGTTAGAGAGAGATCAACCTTTGACAGATATAGATGAACAGTTTTCCTGGTGGGAAGTGTGGGCATCTCTCAAGAGCCCACACGTTTTACTCAACGTCGCCGCGTTGTTTGCATCGGGAACTTCTCTTTACAGTTTGGCTTATTTTGTACCAACCAGTTGCGTCCAAGCGGCAAGCTTCTGAACATTCCACACATTGATGATTTCTGACATGGGCTGCTTTCTTTTTTGATGCTTTTTTGAATCCAGTTGTCAACAGCGTAAGCTTTCTCCGTCCTAGTGACGCTTATGCCATTCTGATCTGCTTTCTTCTACGTCCAGCTCGGATACGATTCACATCAAACACAGCTGATGAGCGTACCTCCATTTGTGGTGGCTTTTGTTTGTACGTAAATTTCGTGCAATTTATAAACCACTATCTTTTGCTGATTATATGTATTTTAAACTCAGTCATGTTGGCAACTGCCTATTTTTCGGATCGCTTGGAAGCCAGAGGGGCTACAACGTGCGGCGGTGCAATCCTCGGAGTAAGCCAAAGCTTGAACTCAAAATCTCTCATCCCATCCGTGAAATGTTTACACAGTTGCTGATTTACATTGAATTGGTCTTCGCGTTTGATTTCAAATGTAAATCACCAGTTTATTGGCTTCATCATGCTCTTTCGATCAGATCCGTCCCAAACCAAGGTCAAATACGCCTCACTATTTTTATGCGTGCCTGGAATTTACTCAATACCACCCGCTGCGGCTGCCTGGCTATCAAATAATAGCTTTGGTCATTATCGGAAAGCTGTCTCCATAGCTGTTGGGTTTGTTTCCGCTAATGGTGGAGGTATTTTGAGTACCTGGGTAAATCTGTCTCATCTGGTCTCCTGAATCTCAAATCGCTCTATCTAACGTCGCCTATCATCTTGCCATGGTAGCTGTTCCCTCATTCCGAGAGGCCCAAATTTCGCAAAGCCTGCATTATCAACATCACATTGTGAGTGTATTTGATCTCTTAGATTATGTCTTTTGTTCCCTGCCACCAAATAATCGTGATCGCTGAAGCAGAATTTGACTATCTTAGTTCTTCATTTTCCCATTTGTCATCCTTGAAATCAGTTGTGGTGCCACTGTCTTCTTTACAATCATGAACCTGTGTTGGCTTCGCTATGCCAACGTTCGAAAAAGGGATAGGCGAGATAAATTGCTCAATGGCTATCAACTTGACGCAAGTCACTCAAAGGTTGATTCTGCGGAATACATTCGCGCGTGGAGAGAACTTGGGGATCAACACCCTGACTTTATTTACACCTATTGAAAGTCGATGTTCACATAATACTTACTCTATACCGACATTATCTTTTGCTAGATGATCCTACACTCAAATTTGAAGTGAAGTAAGAGGAGTATGGTTATAGTGTTACATCAGTAGTAGTGTACTAGAGGTGCTTTACATATATAGAGTTCAACTTCTACGTCTCCTCTCTTTCTTTTCTTCTCTTGAGAATTCCTTTACCTCCTTTTTGTTCTCAGTAGATCTTAGTGTCAATAGTCTTGTATAGCAGTATCTTTTCAGGAAATATATTTAGGTGCTTGTTCTGTCTGGCTACGGCTGTTGAGAATAGAGAACCATTAAAGGTCACATATCATGCAACATTTTGGAGAGTACATCCCATGATTCCTTTGTGATAAAATGTATTTCTCACACTAGAACAGATTTTCAGATCAAAGAGGAGAGGTAAAGAAGAACCAATCCTATCTACAATCTATTCTAGAGTATATAAATCAAATATGCTAATAGAATATAAAGCTATTTAGAGTGAAATATGATCAGGGGATAATATATAATGATGTAATTAGAACTGGCACATGTATAACATCATAACACTTTATCTAATCATTTTACCATGCCCCTGGCATGTCTACTTACTCTTTCATTGTCAGCAACCAAGTCTCTTTACAAGAGATCCAAAGGTACTCCAAGTACAATATTAGCGGTGTACAAACCTACGACCCAACTTGAAAACCCATGAGAAAAACCCATGAAAACCCAACTTGTTTTTAGTTTTTTTTGACGGGTTTTTTTGATGGGTTGCCCTCAAAAGGTTTGAACACCCCAGCCCCCATCACAGCCTAAAACAGTACAGTCACAGCTCCTGTCATCACTTGATGCCTTGATTTTACTTCACATCACTTGTCTTGCATCGACCACATCCATGACTTTTCTTCAAAATCCACTTGCTTGTTTGATGAGGGTGTCCCTCATGAAGTACAATGCCGATGCCAATGCCAACAACGGCAATTTAGACAAGAATATTACTTGTAGAAGTCTACTCATTCTCAAAAGTTGATTTAGACATGTTTCTTTTTGAAATGAAACAATCTCTTTTGATTTCTTCACATTGCAAGAGTTGAAACAAACTAAAGAAACCGATCTTATATAGCAGAGTTTAATAAAAGGTATTCAAAGATAATCGATTAAAATAAAAAAGATTGAAACAAGTCACTCTCTAGAACTAACTTCAATTTTTGGTTGATTGATTAAGGTAAAAAATGAAACTATTTGATAAGCCAATAAAGGAGCTGTGGATGATAAAACATTATCACCTATTCCTAGTATCACTTCTTCACGAGGAAAATGATTAATTGAAAAGTTGAATGATATGAAGAAGAAGTCGACCGAGATCGAATTTATAATAATGATGAACTTGTTAATCAAATCAAATCTAATTGTGTTATATCTTTTACATAAAAAGGTTTTTGCAGCTTGACATTCATCTTTGAGATTGTGATGTTTTCTTTTGTGGCCAATTCGGTAGCTCGGTTAGTTGTCATCATTTTGGACATCTCTTAGGAGGAGTTGAAGCTAATTTGTTCTTGAGATTTTGTAGCATGAGTTCCAGGAGTTGATGGGGATGTAAGACTGTTTGGTGGAAGGTTTCTGGACAGTTTGGAGGTGTTGTGTCGGCAAGGAAGGGGGATGTTGGACTCAGCTAATTTTCTTTCTTTGATGGGTGATCAGATTTAGCCAATTTCAACCCATGAGAAAAAACCCGTCAAAAAAACCCAAAAACAAGTTGGGTTTTCATGGGTTTTTCTCATGGGTTTTCAAGTTGGGTCGTAGGTTTGTACACCGCTATTTAACAAAAATCAGATACAAAAAAATTAAACTACAACTTAGAGGTCTAGTATCAAAGATCCACAAAAAACAATAAAACAAAATTATTTAAGAACAACTTACCAGTCTAGTTTCATAGACCCCAGAATCTGAATACCAGAAAGAGCAAACAAGTGAGCAAGAATCCAGAAGATCTCAAGACACTTGTTTACTACCAATATGAGGCGCATGAGACCTCACCCAAATATCTACATGGAATTCCAAGCAACATGAGAACTGGTGTCCTCCACCATTCCCAAAAGAGAACAAGGCAGAATAGACACCAAAGAAAACCCCAAAGGTTCTCCTTGCCCAACACCTTAGACAGGGACACCAGTTGCCACAAGGATATCCCAATCCGGAATGAATAAGAGCACACAAGCTGTAAGATTTTAAGACCTACTGGTGGAGGGATAGCCTCCGCAACCACAAGTTGGCAGGACAAGCGCAAGAGTATAAATAAGATGCTTCACCCCTACAAGAAGAGGAGCATCAGATTTCACCACCACCTTTTTTTGCGTAGATCCACCTATCTTAAAAACCCCGTCCTCAAGCTTGACTTCTTCACTAATGCCTTTTAAAACTAGTAATCTTTGTTAGTCCCAGTCCAGAGACCATCCAGTCTGTTAGAAGATTCTCTTTCAAACATACCTCAAAATCTATCCTAGCTTGCTCAAGCTTGTCCCAAATTCTCAGCAACTTTAGTCAGTTCCCTCAGAGATTTGCCTCCATTCACAGCCCCCATTGACTAGGCTCTGGCAGGCCAGAGCCTACCAGAGCCTACCACTGACTCCATGAAAGATTCATGAAAGATTCAGAAGGATTTCAAAATGACTTCAACATAATATCATGTGGGGCCATTTGCCTGTCCAACCACCAAAATTCCAATGTCATCATATGATGTCATAAATCTGTACGCACCTGCTCCTGTATTAACAGATCAAGAATATATAGTCTATTAAACTTTACCATGTAAATTGACTGAGTTATTGAGGTTTGAAAAAAAATCACGGACAAAAAATACAATTTTTGTACTATACACAAGACTGGGATGTTGAATATCTTCAATCTTTGTCAATATACATATACATTAAATTTGATTATATTTTCCGCACTATGTTTCTCCACATTTCTGTTCCCTGCAGCCTTTGTCTATGGGTAGTATTTTTATACGTAATTGTGGATTATATACAGAAGTTGGATTTTCTGAAGTTCTTTGACCTTGAGGCAAATTGTGATGAATTGTAGGGCCCAAATTGGGCACAAATAGACTGATATGCATGTAAATAATAATTTCCAAAAGTTTCTGCATCAATTCATTCATATCCTTCCTAGAATCAACAAATCAGGGAAATATTGGACTGCTCATGTAGAATTCACATTTACATATAGAAATATGCCTTTTGGACAAAGTCTGGAAAAATAAAAAATCTAGAAACATGTATTGTACAGTTGAATATAAAATGGACGCCACTATTTGGCGACCGCTTTTTTTGACTCGACGCCCGCAGGTCGGATAATTGGTTATACGTTGCCCTCATTCGGTGGCATTTGCGCCCGCTTTCAACCTCAGCACCCTGTTTCACACTACCCACCCTTTGCACTCGCATAACTCTCCTTTGACTCTATCAGAAACCTCACTTACTTGTATGCTTTGTACTTCTGTGTCACTCTCGACTATGAGACAGAAACACTTAGATCATTTATTTCATTCAACAAAACCAAAACAACAAGCGATAACAAGTTAAGAAAGACATTCATTCCATTTGACAGTCATTCCATTTAGTGTGTATAATTTTGTATAAGTTGTGAAAGTTGGAGCCAGAGCGAGCGGGTAATTCATTCATTAAAACAGACTTTTAAAGACAAACAAGCAGGTTGACAACAAGCGGCCAGACGGAGTTATAAGTAGTTAAACCACATTTAAAGATGTATGCATGTTATATATAAGTGCGCGCGCAAAACACCATAAACCGTGTGTAAGATTTGACGAGAGCGAGACAAGTAGCACAACAAATGAACAATAAAAAACAAACTTTTTGAGGACAAGTACCTCACCTCACTCACTGATCCACCTACCTAATTGAAGTTGATACTTTTTGATCCAAACAGGTATGGTGGTTGAATCAAGCACAGCTTTGTTGCGGCGCATGCCAAAAACTTCCGGAAACCGCACCGAAGAAACATCCTTGAACCCCCAACTCACAAAGTGGTTTTGATTGTTTGAACCCTTTTAATTGACAAAATCCAGTACAGTTGGGCCCTCATTGAAATTGTTTGGGAGTGTGCGATAAGAGAAGAACGTGCTGGAGCATCCCTTTCACGGATCCAGGATTATCATAGGCCGATCGTAAGCACTAGCTATGATATAGCCCATATACGGCATCTGTACCCAGTATTGGTAGGAGCATTTGTGTTCCTCGTAATCCAGGCGGAATTGGAGATCTTGAACTACCTCAGCGCCAAAGGATACATTTCTATGAGTCATCATTCCCGTGCGAATTGAAGGTGGAGCAATCAAACGCTCATGATCTTGAGCATGGGTTGACAACTCAGACAGCAATTCTAACGTCCACATACGAGTGTTCAGCTGGATTGCCAATAGATGCTGCTATAGCAAGGTATCCGCAGTTTCCAAAGGGTGGAGGGTTGATGATCAAGATAACAAAAGGAACCATTTTTTAGGGAGCTGCTTCAAAATAAGTTGATCTTCTGACAAAGCGAGTGGACTCTTCTTGCAGACACGGCTTGATGAGGGTGGAAGGGCTAGGTGCAAAGAACCGCCTTCTATTGAAAAAACTGCAGATCCATATTCACAACTCGATTCGAGGTTCGTCCTGACTTTGGGATCACTGGAAGGCATCTTGAGATCCTCGCCAATGAGCAATAACCCAAGTTCGGGCACCAAAACACGACACAGTAAGTAGTTAGGTGAAAGCGGGGCGGCAGTACCAATATCCAATTTGATTTTGGAGGAGTCTGATAAAAACATATTGCTCAAGGTGTGGATCATGACCTCATAACCAAGGGGGCCGTAACTGATCAAAGAAGAGATGGGTTGCTTTAGTTATAGATGCCCATCTTGTAAAGATGTACATGGAGACTCACTATCCGGGCTGTTCCACTTCGAAACCATCAAATTCACCTGACATACTAAAGAT